GCAATCTACTTCCGTAGTGATACCACCTCAGAAACTCAAGGAGGGGTCGCTATGAGTCAGGTCAGACTCGATGGCACATAACAACAACAACAACACAGAAGCCAATACTTGCTTCAAAAAACAAGCTCATGGGGGGAGAGGTGCCAAATATTCGCCTCGTTGATGCTCCTGTCTGCACAAAGTTAATAGCCTTAAAAGTAAGACCAACATGGCTCCGTCCTCCACTCTCTTGCCATCATTAAGATGTAAAGAGTTAGCACAGGATTTCTGAGATAATCTCATGACTTCATACATTAACCATCCATAGAGTGTTCCTCTTTGCCTCAGTGCCACCACTCAAGTCCGAGGAGAAGAGGAAGAGGAAACAAACACCTTCTAAAATCCATGTGAAGGAGAAGATGTGAATTGATGCATATTTCATGCTCCCCCTCTTTCCTGGGTGAAAGCTCTTAACCAAGTCACCTCGTGATAAGTTAGTCTGCTTCATGATCTGCTCTGGGAGATTGAGCCCCTCCGAGTGCAGGCAGGGAGTGCAAATCTCTTGCCCCGTGGTCAAGCTCCTGGAGCAAAGGCATGAATGTTAAAGAGCACGCAGATCAATACAAGCAAATACGGCCCAACTACACCATTTATTCAGCCATGAGAGATGTCAATAGCCAGATTAGGGTGATCCATCTTTTTGATTTCCTACTGTATTCCCACTGACTACATGAGGGCTTTTTCCTGTATTAAAAGTGTTTGCTTTCTCAACCATAAAAATTCCAATTATTACTCTGAGTGCTCCGGAGTTAAGTTGCTTGTTGGCTGAGGCCTTGAATTACCTGAATCAGTCCAGGGAAGTAGGGGGCTGCTGGGACGATCATGGGCACGCCGTAAGGATGCAGGAGGACTCCTTGAGACGACAGCATGCTTTAAGCGCAGGTATTATTGCCTCTGAAGCTCAACACATCAATTGAAGAGTTAGGGGAAAATCTATAGACCCAACTTCTTCCGAACTACAAAGCCGAGAGCCAAATCGCTTCTGTCAGGAGCCAAGCGCTCATCAACATGGAGAGAGGAGAGACAGAAAATCCGCATCAGCAACTCTTAATGTGAAAGTCTTCCTCCCAGACGCCGAGGAGACACAGCAGCTGCAAAGTTGAAGCTACCAAAATGGAACTTGCTATTTTGGGAACAGCTTGCCTAACATGACTAACCAAATACTCTTCATTAATTTAGTTCTCAGTGAGAGGGAGAGAGAGACCGAGAGACCAAGAGAGAGACAGAGGGACACAGAGTGTTAGATGATGGGACCTGGGGTCTTCCACATGAATTGGCCCAAAAGGCAGAGGATGGAGTCTACATGAGGTTCTTTGGGAGAAAACAGAAATGCACTGAGAGAACCATCAGCATCTACTTGAAACTCTAACTGAGGAGGTTAACATGGGAAGTCTTGAGTATCGACCCACAAAAGCAAAGAAGATACTCAGTTGAGTTTGCCACACACACTCTTTCTCATGTCCATTTCACAGGAGCAATTTACAAAACATGCAATAATACTATCAGCTAATATTTGCATAGCGTGTGCTATGCACCAAGACCAACTTCAATTATTTATACGTGGTATGTAATGTCATTCTCATGATAAGCTATGAAGCAGGCAGTATTATTCTCATGTGGCCAATGGGAAATAGGGATCACAGGAGTCAAGGGGTCTTCCTACAGCCAGACAGCTTGTAACAGGCAGCTCTGCACTACGAACACACTCCTGCACCCAGTTTCTAACCATGGCCCTGTCATTCATTATTGCATTTCATTCCGGAATAGAATTTCAAATGCTTTTTTCCTTCTTTTGGTATTTAATATATCTACTTATCTTTGAGCTGTAAGCTGGGATTAAGTAATATGTAATCTATCAGTAAGCTTCCAATGAAGAGATATCTCCCCACCCCCTAGGTTTAATGGCAGCTATGATGTGGACCTGGGTGGTGTAACTGTTAACACACTGAGATGCTAACCCAAAGTTTGGCAGTTCAAGTTTACCCAGGGGTACTGTGGAAGAAAGATTTGGTGATCTACTTTTGAAAACTCAGCTACTGAAAACCCCATGGAACACAGCTTTACTCTGATACACATGCCATGAGCTGGAAATGGCCCCATGGCAACTGAGAATGCATACCAGAACTCTGGATGAGAAATACACACCAGCCAATATTTGAAATCCTTCTGGTATTTGAAAATACTCCAGGGATTATTTGGGATAAGTTACATTGTAAGGGATAAATTCCTATGGGATCAATGAATTGGAAATAAACTGACCTGGGTGTTCCACTTACTAGCTGTGTGACTTTGAACAAATGGCTTAGCCTCTCTGAGCCCCCAGCTTCCTCATTGGAAAAACTGAAAAAAAAAGTCCCTCCCTCATAGAGTGCCATGTTAATGAAATAAAGTCCTTATCGATCTAGGCCTAACAGTTGGCATCGTATCATTACGTGGACAATGCGGGGAGAACTTGGTCCCTCTTGTCATGTGGTCTTGTTTTCCTGATGGTAGGTAGAGACACATTACTGGCTTCAGATTGAAGGCCCAGATCAAGTGCCAATCCTCACTCCCCTAATCTTCCTAGGAGGAAAACATGTGGGCGTGTTTAGAGTTTCACAATTTTGAGAGCAATGTGAAAACCTGATGGATTTTGGGTAAAGAACGCACAAGACTGGGAGTAATTGAAAATCCCCTTCAGACCAGACACGTGCCCACCACACCTCACCTTCCACTGTTATCAGGACATATGCTATAGATTTTGTCAAAACGGGAGCGCCTCCACCCCGGAGAACATAGTCAGCTATCGGCTTTTTCTAAATCCAAATGTCAATTCCTCTACTTTTAGATAGCCAAGGTGTTTTTACACTACACTAATTTTAGTTGCTTGATTTAGCTGCATAATTACATTTCTAGATAATGGCATCGGACAGCGTTTGGCAGAGAATCCAATTATTTAAGGCTGCATTTTGGCCATCTTGACAAGGTCTGTCTGTAACGGATTCTCACGCATCAAAGTGGCCACGTTGTACAATTCAGAAAGCTCTTGTAACAGCTGCAAGCTGACCCCTCTTACTCAACAGCCGATACTGTTTCTAACTTTAGCTTTTGACTGTGACTCTCAATACCGCGTTTCTGAGGATTAGCAGAGAGGACTGAAGTATCATCGTGGGAGAGACGTGTTTTCCTAGTCTCGGCTTCCCTTTCGTAATCGTGGTGGGGAGAGCTATTGGTTGCTGGTAAGGATTGAGCAGGGTGAATTTTGGCTCTTTTAACATTATGACGTGGCAAGAACATTGGACCAGGAGGCCTGGAGCTTCTCAGGCACTCAGGCCAGAAATTTACATGGTTAGGTTGTTTTTTATTTTCTGAAGGTAAAACAGAGCAATTTGTTGTTGTTTGTTGTTATGTGCCGTCGAGTCGGACCCGACTCATAGTGACCCCTCCTTGGGTTTCCAAGGCAGTATCACTAAGGAAGTAGATTGCCCCATCTTCCTTCTGAGGAGTGACTGGTGGGTTTGAACCACCAGCCTTCTGGTTAGCAGTCAAGTGCCTTAGGCACTATGCTACCAGAGCTCCCAATAGTATACACTTATTCTTCAGCAGAAGTGAGCCAAGAAATAAACTTCCATGAGCATTTTGGAAACTATGTTTTTGTTGTTGTTATGTGCTGTCCAGTCCAACCCAACTCATAGCAACCCCTCCTTGGGTTTCCAAGGCAGTATCACTAGGGAAGTAGATTGTCCCATCTTTCTTCCGAGGAGTGGCTGGTGGGTTTGAACCGCCAGCGTTCTGGTTAGCAGTCAAGTGCCTTAGGCACTAAGCTACCAGAACTCCCTTGGAAACTACAGAGTTATTATTAAAAAAAAAGAAAAAAAACACAGTGTATCGTTATATTGATCATCATAGGTACCATTTTTATTAAAGAACCTGATGATTTCAGTTGGAAAGAAATGAGAATTGTATTATATTAGGGACATAGAAATATGCAGCTACGTCCTTTGCAGATAATAAAACTTCTTTTCCTCCCTCCCTCCCTGCCTCTCTTCCCACCTTCTTTCCTTCCTTTCTCCCTGCATGCATTCCTTTCTTCCCTCCCTTGCTCTTTTCTTCCTTCCTTTTTTCCTTTCCCTCCTTGAAACAAAAGCTGGTTGTCCTCCTGAGTAATGGGTATCCTTTTCTCTCTCTGAAAATAAAGGCTGATTGTTTTGTGACTCTCTTCACTCTGACCGCCAGGAAGCTCAGAGCCATTCTGTTCATTTTGTTGGCCTTTACTGTGCATAGATCTGTGTTCTTGCCTTCCTGTCCCCACCATTTCCAATCCTAACTACTGTTCTTCGCCTTTTCTCCAATTTCACATTTATCATTGCCAGCACTCACTGCTGTTGAGTTGGATCTAACTCATAGCAACCCCTCCTTGGGTTTCCAAGGCAGCATCTCTACGGAAGTAGATTGCCCAATCATCCTTCCGAGGAGTGGCTGGTGGGTTTGAACCGCCAGCCTTCTGGTTAGCAGTCAAATGCCTTAGGCACTATACCACCAGAGGTCCCATCATTGCCATATATGATTAGAATTACTGAAATCATACTGAATGCATCCTCGTAACAAACCCACCTCAAATACTTTATGAAATAGTAAAAGATATTAATAAGTAGCAACAACCACTAAACTTGCTATAAACACAGGTTGTTTCCCCCCAAGGGAAGCATCTAGTATTATTACTGAGCTCTGATTCTTTTTTCTTGAATCCATTTTCTCCGTTAGAAGGCAGGCCTCATACTCTGTGCCCCTCTGCTCCCCAGTGGAGGGTACACCCAGTTCATGTGGCTCACTTCCACCATGTCTGTGTGTGGGACTAAGGACACGGTCCATTGCCAGCATTGGTGGTTCGGTGGTAGGATTCTCGCCTTCCATGCAGAGACCTGGGTTTGATTCCTAGCCAATGCACCTCATTCTCAGCCACCGCCATTCTGTTGGTGGGGTTTGCATGTTGCTATGATACTGCACAGGTTTCAGAGAAGCTTCCAGACTAAGACTGAGTAGGAAGAAAAGTCTGGTGATCTGCTTCTGAAAACCAGCCAGTGAAAGCTCAATGGATCCCAATGGTGCAATCCACAACCACTTATGCCGACGACACAGGACCGGGTACTGTTTAGCTCCATTGTGCAAGGAGTCACCATGAAGTAGGGGACGACTCTATGGCAACTAACAACAACATGAAGACTGTGGGCACTGAAAACACGTGGAAGGAAACAATAAGGTAAACAGGGAGGGGAGGTGTTTTGGGGGACTGTCTAGGAAACACAGACTTCTAAAACTGAATTCAAAGGAAAGGCCGTGTATCTTACTTACCATGAAGGGGCATCTGAGCCCGTGAAGGGGCACCAGATTGACAAACGCTTTTCTATTCGTGGGCAGACAGTAAACATTTTCTGTGTTGTGGATTTTATGGTCTCTGTTGCAATGACTCTGTTCTTCCAAGAAAGCATGAAATCAACCAAAGATGATACATAAATGAATAAGCATGGGTAGGTACCAATAAAACTTTATTTATGGTCACTAAATCGTGAATTGTCTGCAATCTTCATGTGCCACAAAATACTGTTTTTCTTTCTATTTGTTTTCAACCACTGAAAAGTGTAAAATGTACTCATCCTCTTATCTCAAGGGTGCTACAGAGAAAGGGCAATGGGTGAGATCTGGCCCACAGGCCGTAGTTTGCTGACGCCTGGTCTTGGGATTTAACTGAAATTCTGGAGGTCAGACTGCAATGCAATGGCTCATGCATATTCCTTTCTGTGTTACCTGCTGCTTCCGTACCTGCTTCTTGGCTTTCTTGTCCCCTCCTTGGTGCCACTTGCTATGTTCCCCTTTCCTATGTTAGCAATTCCCATGTAGAAATTATTCCTCTCCAGATCTTCTGGAGCTATGGTTGGTGGATGAACCTCTGCTGTCCTGAGATAATCTTGAAACTTTAACTTTAAACCAAAATATCCCCTTAAGTTTTCTCTAAAGGAAGCAGTAAGTTACCTCATTTAGTAAAGAATGTTGGCCTTGAACATTGTGTTCTTTTGAAAAACTATATGGGATCAAATTGCTTAGGGAGCAGTGAGTTTACGTTAATGAGGACGAACAATTCG